TTCATCACCATGATACTGGTAGTTACCACATGTTGGAAATCCTTTAGGTCTTTTAGGCATATCATCTTTAGAACCAACTTGTATTAATAAACCCATACCAATTTCTACATGGAATTCTATATGACAGTGGAAGAACCACATTCCTGCAATAAAAGATACAGTTTTAAACCCTAAAAGGAGCAATTCTAGCAAAGTATTTGTAAAACTTCATTTTGCACAATGGTTAAGAGTGCTGGTTATTTACTTTACGCTATTTGTTTGGTTAAACATTTGGTAGTTGTTGGTTCTAATCTCAGTCAGTGTCTGAAAGTCTGATGACCTTTAATTAGTCATCTTCACTCATAATTCTAGTCAACCCAGCTGTAAATGTGTAGGGATAATCCGAGAAATACCAATGCCAAGAGGTTTGGCTTAGGACAAGTTGGTAGAAAAGATCCTTTAAAAGATAGTTTCTCTTTCTTTTACGATTTCTTTTCTCACTTGTGAGCTGTTACTGATTTCTTATGTCTTTTTTAGAATATGATATAGCAATTACTGTACAAGTACTGTTAGGTTTGAATGATATTTTGGGTAGTGATTGGATGTGAAACTGTAAATCAGAAAGGTGTAAACAGAAGCTATATGTACAAGAGAGAGAGAGAGAGCGTCTGTTCTTTTTATGACAGCATTACTGGCTGAAATGTACCCATTGTCCAGAGCTGAAATGGTAACGTTTTCTTGGGATGTAATGTTCAAGTTATGATATTACGCTTAAAACTCTCTGCTACGTCTGCAGTAGCTAAATGAGAAGGCAGATGTCTGAAGATGAGATTTACCTGGATTATTGGCATGGAATCTAATAACTGTATAACCACCATCTGGTACAGTCACAGTATCTTTAGCTACTGCCTTACTTAATTTACGTTCTATTAATCCTTCTCTGTCTAATCTCATCACTTCTTCCAAACTGGTTGATACATTCAACTGAAATATAAAAAATGAAAGATGAAAGCGCTGTGGAAGGTATGGTTTTGAGACACCAGCTTAATTACCAAAGTACTGTGGAAGTCATATTTTGAGACACCAGCATAATTCCAAGAAGTTTTGATACTCGAGCATTATTTCAAAAAGTGCTGAGGAAGGCATGTTTTTGAGTGACCTGACAAAACAATTTCACAAAGTGCTGGAGAAGGTATGTTTTGAGACTCGAGCATAATTTCACGCAGTGCTGGAGAAGGCATGTTTTGAGACTCAAGCATAATTTCACGCAGTGCTGGAGAAGGCATGTTTTGAGACTCGAGCATAATTTCACGCAGTGCCGGAGAAGGCATGTTTTGAGACTCGAGCATAATTTCACGCAGTGCTGGAGAAGGCATGTTTCAGGACTCGAGCATAATTTACGCAGTGCTGGAGAAGGCATGTTTTGAGACTCGAGCATAATTTCACGAAGTGCTGAGGAAAGCATGTTTATCAAAAATAAGTCCTCCGAGGTAGAATGATCTTCCCTTATGAAACTGCCATATTGACTTACCTTGCCCATACCTACTACCCTAAAAGTATGACCATGTAAATGTGTCGGATGGTTGGCATTAAATGTTACTCCTTCATCTATTAGTATAATTTCTACCACATCATTTAAATCTACCACTAATCTATGTACACATTGACAGAATTCTCGACTACAGTTCTTGTTCTTCACAGTATCAACATTACAGTACATTTCCTAAATACAAAATATATAACGTCTATACAATAATGTTATCATGGACACCTTTTCCGTTTGAATTGACGGAACAATATCTTTACATCCGTCATGACAT